CTCTCTCTCCATCCCTCCGTCTCTCTCTTCTCTTTCTGTTGTTTCTCCCGGTGGTAAAAATATCCCTTGTTCCCTCGGGAGTGGATGACGTGAGCCGCCCGCGTGCCCGCCTCACCTCCAGAGAAGAAGAAGAAGAGGAGGAGGAGGAGGAGGAAGAGGAGGAGCTTCAGCGGTTGCCACGGCAACACACGCCGGTGACGCACACGGCAACGACGAGAAGAAGAGGAGGAAGAGGAGATGGAGAGAGAGAAGAAGAGGAGAAGAAGAAGAGGAGGCATCATGGGGATTGGTCCAGACGCAGAGAAGAGATTTACACATGTGATGGAAGGATGAGATGGAGGGAGAAGAAGAAGAGAGAGAGGAGAAGACAAGAGAAAGAGGAGAGAGGAGGAGAGAGAGAAGAGAGGAGGAAAGGAGAAGAAGGAGAGAATGAGGGAGAGAGAAGAGGAGACGAGAGAGGAGGAAAAGAGGAGAGAGAGAAGAGCGGAGAGAAAGAGGAGGAGAAGAGGAGAGAGGGAAGAGGAGAAGAGGGGAGAGAAAAGGAGAGAGAAGAGGGGAGAGAAAGAGGAGGAGAAGGAGAGAGAAGAGAGAAAGGAGGACAGAAGGAAGAGAGAGGGAAACAAGAACAAATGTGAAGAGGAGGAGAGAGAGAGAGACAGTAAGAGAGAGAGAGGAGAAAAGGAGGAAAAGAGAGAGAAGAGATAAACAGGAGGAGGAGAAGAGAAGAAGAGGAGGAAGAGGAGATGGAGAGAGAGAAGAAGAGGAGAAGAAGAGGAGGTATCGAGGGGATTGGTCCAGACGCAGAGAAGAGATTTACACATGTGATGGAAAGATGAGATGGAGGAGAAGAAGAGAGAGAGAGGAGAAGACAAGAGAAAGAGGAGAGGAGGAGGAGAGAGAGAAGAGACGAGGAAGAAGAGAGAGGGAAGAAGAAAAGAGGAGGAGGAGAAGAGACAAAGGGAGAGAGAGAGAATAGAAGAATAGAAGGAGAAGAGGGAAGAGAGAAAAGGAGAAGAGAGAGGAGGATAGAAGGAGGAAAGGGAGGAGACGGGAGCAAAGGTGAAGAGAAGGAGAGAAGGGGAGGAGAAAGAAGAAGAGAGAAGAGAAGGAAGAAAAGAGAGAAAGAGAGAGAGAAGATAAACATCCCTTCCACCAAAAAAGTGACACAGTGCTGCTTTAAAATTATGTTTTTTTTTCACACTTTTATAAACCAAAAATGATCCACGTCCACATTTATAAATTTACAGTTTCAATATTTTATTAAAAAAAAAAAAAAAAAAAAAAAACAGATAAAAACGTATAAAAATAAAAGGCTGCGTTGGAGGACGGAGGAGATGTGATTCCGTTCGCTTCAGGGACGGCGGGAAATGGCGTTATCGTCGTCTGAAATGCCGCGTTTCTCTTTCCGCACGTGCGAGTTTAAACGACGCGATTAAACACGGACCGGACATTTACTTTCACTTTCACTTTCACTTTCACAAAACAAATATTCTGAACATTCTACCACGTCATGACATCACAAGGTGGAGCAGAACGTTACAACTCCAGGTCTGTTTTTGAGGAGGAAACGAGATCAGCCGCTCGTCTCCGTGGAGATAAAGAAGTTTAATGTCACACTGTGGAACATTTCAACATCATCACCGTGGAGACGAGGAAGATTCAGACGCCCCAAGTCGCACAGAGCGGCTGAAAGAAGAAAGGAAGAAGAGAGGAGGAAGAGAATAGAGAAACAGAGGAGAGGAAGAGGAGGAGAAGTGAGGGAGGAAAGAGAGAAACAGAGGAGAGGAAGAGAAGTGAGGGAGGAAAGAGAGAAGCAGAGGAGAGGAAGAGAAGTGAGGGAGGAAAGAGAGAAGCAGAGGAGAGGAAGAGAAGTGAGGGAGGAAAGAGAGAAGCAGAGGAGAGGAAGAGAGGGTAGAGGAGAGGAGAGGGAGAAAGAAGAGAGGAGAAGAAGGAAAGGTTAGGAGGAAAGAGAGAAGGAGGAGAGAAAGAATAGAGAAGGGAGAGAGGTGAGGAGGAAAGAGAGAAAGAGAGAGTGAAGGTAAAAAAGGAGGTGAAAAATTGACATTCTTCCCAAAAAAAATTCAGATTCTAATTCAACATCTGCAAACTTCAAACCTGTAAAAACATTTTTACACAAAAAAAAACAAACAGATTTTTGGTTAAAAACATTAAAGTTTTTTTTTTTTTTTTTACCCACAAACCACCGCGTTTCCTCCTTTTCTATAAAGTGAAGGAGAATCTGTGAGTCAACACCGCCCCCCACAGGCAGAGAGAGAAACTGCACCGAAACACGGAGGAAAAAACAACTGTGATTCATTTATTAAAAAGTCACAAAAAGCAAAGAGGAGAGAGAGAGAGAGAGAAGAGAGAGAAGAGAGAGAGAGAGAGAAGAGAGAAGAGAGAGAAGAGAGAAAAGAGAGAAGAGAGAGAGAGAGAGAGAGAGAGAGAGAGAAGAGAGAGAGAGAGAGAGAAGAAGAGAGAGAGAAGAGAGAGAGAGAGAGAGAAGAAGAGAGAGAGAGAGAGAGAGAAAAGAGAGAGAGAGAGAAAGAGAGAAGAGAGAGAAGAGAGAAGAGAAGAGAGAGAAGAGAAAAGAGAGAAGAGAGAGAAGAGAGAAGGGAGAAAAGAGAGAAAAGAGAGAGAAAGAGAGAAGAAAGAGAGAGAGAGAAGAAAAGAGAGAGAAGAGAGAGAGAAAAGAGAGAAGAGAGAAAGAGAGAGAGAGAGAGAAGAGAAGAGAGAAAAGAGAGAAGAGAGAGAGAGAGAGAGAAAAGAGAGAAGAGAGAAGAGAGAAAAGAGAGAAAAAGAGAAGAGAGAAAGGAGAAAAGAGAAGAGAGGAGAGAAAAGAAATAGGAGAGAACAGAAGAGAGAGAGAGAGGAGAGGAAAGAAGAGAAGAGAGAGGAGAGAGAGGAGAGAGAAAGGAAAGGAAAGAGGAGAGGACAGAAAGGAGAGAGGAGAAGAGAGAGGAGAGAAGCGTTAGGAAGGAGAGAGGGGAGTGAGGAGGAAGGGGTGTCCTCCTTCCTTCCTTCCTTCTTTGTTTCCTTCTTTCCTTCCCTCACGTTTCCTCCTTCCTTCTTTAATTCCCTCACGTTTCCTCCTTCCTTTCCTCTCTCACGCTTCCTCCTTCCTTCCTTCTTTCACGTTTCCTCCTTCCTTCCTTCCCTCCCTGATGTTTCCTCCTTCCTTTCCTCTCTCACGCTTCCTCCTTCCTTCCTTCTTTCACGTTTCCTCCTTCCTTCCTTCCCTCCCTGATGTTTCCTCCTTCCTTTCCTCTCTCACGCTTCCTCCTTCCTTCCTTCTTTCATGTTTTCTCCTTCCTTCCTTCCCTCCCTGATGTTTCCTCCTTCCTTAGGTTGTTCTAAAACTTAAGGTTCTTCTGCATTTTCACGAATAATTTCACAGTTTGTTGATGTTTTGAGCGATTCTAGAACCTAAACCAAGACATTTAGAAGCATTTTCAGATGGAATCGCCAAATGTTCTAATTGGAATCGTCATTTCTCTGCCTGAAATGTTCCGCAGTGTGACTTTAATACAGTTCTACTTCACATTTATTCAATTACAGCTCGTTTTAAAGCTCAAAAACAAACATTCCCGACCTGTAACTTGATCTGGTTTGGTCTCCGTGACGATAGAAACGTTTAATGCCGTACTGCGGAACATTCTGAGCGACATTCTGGAGAAAAGCAATGAGAAAAGTTACACAATGCACCTTTAAAACGTCCATTAATGAACTTTCTTACAAATAAAAACACCAAAAAGATGCAGCGTTTTAACAAAAGGTGATTTATTTTGCAGAAATGTAAATAAATTACACTTTTTTAGTTACAAAAGTCAAATTAAACTCAAGCAGCACGATCGATTTTTGAGATTTTTCTATAATATGTTTTTTTTCCCCCCAACATAAACGTCTTTACGCTGATATTTCTGACGACAACGAAGGTAATGAGGCTTTAATTTGAGGTTTTACGATGTTTTCAAAGCCCGAGCAGAGTCGTTTCTATAACAGAGAATAACACGAGGAGATATTTGGACAAACGATTAAAAATAAAGTTAAAAAAGAAAGTATCGTTTGTGATTTCAGGTCTTAAAATATCAGCGATATTTACAGGTGAAACGAGAAAACAAAAACTGAGACTCTGGTTTTTGTGGGTTCTGAGTTGGAGTTGTAGTTGCAGTGCTCGGGGCCGTAGGGGGCGCTGTACACAGACCAGGTTTAGTCCAGGTTTAGTCCCGGTCGAGTCCTGGTTCAGTCCCGGTTCTTCATTCCCTGTGGTTTTCCCAGTTTCTTCTCCTGCTGCTGCTGCTGCTGCTGCCCTCGGCCCGGTCCACTCATGCCCCGACCACGACCCCCGAACACGCCTGAAAAAACACACAAGACACAGTGTGGACGGTTAAAAAGAGAAAAAAACCAAAAATAGACAATTTAAAAATCTGAAAAAACAGAGACAGTGTGGATATTATCGGCCGATATGAGCAACTGGAGGCATATCAGCTATCGGCCGATATACTTGCTGATAGGGGCCGATATTTCACGTGGGCATGTGATACGTCCTTAAAAATCTTAGACTCTCTACATTAATTAATTCATTCATTTAATCCAATTTACAGACAGATAAATGTCCAGATATGTGGCTCCACATCAGTGTTTATCTGTGGAGTCATTTGTCTGTGTGTGTCGTACTGTCCCTGAACACACCGCAGTCGTGTCACTCACATGTGTTTGTGTTTGTTTACACCTGCAGACACAGATCCAAACACTGAGATTATTTTCTTTTTACGGACAATCGGTTTGAGTCTGGATTAAAAGGACATTTATTAGTGCAGATTTGTGATGTGGGAGGAGCCTGTGTGAGTCTGAGTGTTGAAATATGTCGACTCTGAAGCTAGTTTTGGTCATTTGTTATGGGTTAGCTGCTGTAGCTCCGCACATAAACAGGTTTGTGTTTGTGTTTTCTATTGGTCTATTGTAAAGTGATTATATTGGCTGTATATTTGTTACTGGACCTGCACTGATGTAAATGAGCTGTGACGGGTGAATTATGACATTTGCGTATATAATTAATTACCGCGGGGCTCACGTATTTACGGCTAAAGGCTAATAGCGCTAGTTTCTTTACTAGTGATGGGTCGGTCGCCAACGAGCGGCTCTTAGATCCGGCTCTTTGAAGCGAACAACTAGAGCCTGATCCTTATCGGGATTGGGAGCCGTGTTTTCTCTTTCTCTCACTTTTTTTCTCTTCACGTCGCGTGTAGACTCGTGGTTTGACAGCGGCAGCGGCTGAAAATGAAACTTTCAGAAATTTGCGTGTACAAAGGATAAAAAAAACGAGCATATTTGGCTGCAGTTTAGCATAAAATAAATAAACCAGGACTAATCTTGGGCACGAGATAGAGACCGAGTCCCGACACTCGGTCCTGGTTCAGTTTTGGTTCAGTCCTGTTTTACACGTGGTCTAGATCTGTTTTAGTCCTGGTTTAATCCCTTTTCAGTCCTGATTCAGTCCTGCTTTAGACCTGCTTTAGTCCTGCTTGCAACAAAACAATCTGAAGAGTCCAGCTGCTTTAGTGAACCGAGCCAAAAGAGCCGGTTCTCAAAAAAAAAAAAGAACTGGAATCCCCATCACTAGTGTCTAGAATGTGATGCAAAAATGCCATTAGTCCGACTGTCTGTAAATCTGATGTAAAGAGTCAGAAGAACAATAAATGTTTCCTAAATAAACCCAATTTAAAATCCACTAGAGCCAAACCTAAGTTTTTTTTAAAAATTCAACATTTACAGTGAATTTTTACATCACTAAATATATCGGTGATTATATCGGCAGCTCCAACTTCCATTATATCGGTTTCATATCGGCCACAGCAAAATCCATATCGGTCGGGCTCTAATTGTATTGTTTAATGTGATGATTCAGTATCAATATCGTGGGCTGCTGTATCGATATAGTATTTTTTGGTATATCTAACAAAATTATTTTTACGTTTATTTCCTGTATTTTCCATGTTCCGCAGTGCAGCTTTCAGAGCGTTCGTGTCGTGTTCCGTGTGTTGTATCTGACCTCTGCCCGGGCCTCCTCTGCCTTTGCCCTGCTGTTTGTTCTGCTGCGCTCCTCCTCGTCCTCGGCCCTTGGACACCACCTCCTCCTTCACCATGTCGATGATCTCGTCCGGGATACGCAGGTACTTGATGGTGCTGCCGCGGATGTAACACTCCGGCATCCTCCAGAACTTATCTCCGTCCTGAAACGCACAGAACAAACACGGGCACGATGAGGACGAGTGTGGGGAAGCTGGCCAGTGTGGGCTCAGAAAACGTTCCATTTCACCAAAAACGTATTCGTAATTCATCGTGGCATCCAAAATAATACATATTTACAAAAAATAACTGCTCAAATTAGGCAAAAGCAACAGGAATTACACTGAACTCCTTGAAGGACACAGGAAGGACCTTCTCTTAAAAGGTCAGATGTTAAAGGTTGTATAGAGGATTTTTTTAAGGGAAGAGAAATACAGCGACAGTCCTTGTGCGCGTTCAGAATCACTGTTGAAGTTTCCTGTCTAGAAGTAATTCAGCGACCGACGCGTCAGTTTTTAGACCCTTCGTCTGCTTCGGTCGCGCCATCGCTGGACGAGATCTCCAAGAATCACCTCAGTTTGGCTTTGCTCCTTTTGCGGTGAACCGGTCGTAGATTCTCGTCCGCCGTCGCGACAAACTTTGTGCGAAATGCGAGGAAGCGACAGTTCGAAAAAGCCTCTAAGAACCGCTGCGTAAACCACGTGATCCCCGCGCTCCGACGAATCAGTTATACTAGGGAGTTTGATTGACAACCTAACAGCCAATAGAAAATGAGGGAGCATCGTTTTCTATTGGCTGATGTTTATCTGGCCTCAACACGTCCACAGTTGATAGATTTTCATTCTTTTTTGTTTTGTCATCATAATTACAAAGCTGCTGCGTCTCTGTAATGGTGTTTTCATCTTTGACTGACAGTTTGAAACAAAAAAAAATCCTCCATACAACCTTTAAGATAACTTTACTCTTTGCTCTAAAGTTAATCCTTTTCACTACAAGGCCTAAGTCTCCTTTAAATCACAGTGTTTAACGTAAACTAGAAACACTAAAATATATAAATCAAATACACAAAACCCATAAAACAAGAAGGAACTGAAACTTATTTGCTCTGTTCTCGCTTGCGTCACAAAACCGGAAGATGTTTGGAAACGTGTGGAGGACGACTTCCTCGTAACTCTGAGAAAATCTGGGAAAACTGAGAAAATGGCCCAGTTTTCTTCATCTAAACGTCACTGTATCATTTCCTTTTTCTTTTTATAAATTGCCTATTCGTTTGTGTTTTATAATTTGTTGAACTAAAGAAAAAACCTGCAATTATGTTCGAGAGATCAACAGTTATGGCCAGCTCTCTCTCTCTCTCTCTCTCTCTCTCTGTGTCTCTCTCTCTCTCTCTGTGTCTGTCTCTCTGTGTCTGTCTCTCTCTCTCTCTGTGTCTGTCTCTCTCTCTGTGTCTCTCTCTCTGTCTGTCTCTCTCTGTGTCTGTCTCTCTCTGTGTCTGTCTGTCTGTCTCTCTCTGTCTGTCTGTCTCTCTCTGTCTGTCTGTCTCTCTGTGTCTGTCTCTCTCTCTCTCTGTGTCTGTCTCTCTGTGTCTGTCTCTCTGTGTCTGTCTCTCTGTCTCTCTCTGTGTCTGTCTGTCTCTGTCTGTCTTTCACCCTGCATCTCTGTCTCGTGTCTCTCCCCGTGTCTCTTGTGTCTCTTGTGTCTCTTGTGTCTCTCCCCGTGTCTCTTGTGTCTCTTGTGTCTCATGTGTCTCTTGCGTCTCTTGCGTCTCTTGCGTCTCTGCGTCTCTCCCCGTGTCTCTCTCCGTGTCTCTCCCCGTGTCTCTCTCTCCGTGTCCTCCCGTGTGTCCTTCCGTGTCTCTCCCCGTGTCTCTCCCTCGTGTCTCTCCCGTGTGTCTGTGTCTCTTGCGTCTCTTGCGTCTCTTGCGTCTCTTGTGTCTCTGTGTCTCTCCCCGTGTCTCTCCCCGTGTCTCTCCCCGTGTCTCTCCCCGTGTCTCCCCGTGTCTCTCCCGTGTCTCTCCCCGTGTCTCTCCCCGTGTCTCTTGCGTCTCTTGTGTCTCTTGTGTCTCTTGTGTCTCTTGCGTCTCTTGTGTCTCTTGTGTCTCTTGCGTCTCTCCCCGTGTCCCTCGTGAAGACTGGACTCACCCTGGACGTGCAGATCACTTCTCTCAGGTTGATGTTCATCCAGTTGTCGCAGCTCACCAAGTGCCCGTTGTACGTTTCTCCATTTTTCAGCTCCACCAGCTTCAAAACAAAGACAAACAATGTGACAATATGTTCTTTTAGTTATACTGTAAAAATGCAGAAATGTCACTTTACACCTTTATTTAAACCATTTCTAAGTGTAAGATAAATTAGTTTAATAACATAAATATTTTACGCATTAGTTTTCTCACCATGGGATGATTCTGGGCCGTCTTCAAAAGTGATAAAGGAAGCTGAAAGTAAAAACAAAAGCATTTTAATTCAGTGTTCACTCCCCAACAGTGTCTTATAATTATGAACTACTCAACTAAGTTTTTTTCAATTTATCTCTTTTGAAAACTCTTATACCGACTATTAACGGAATAAAATGTCCTCTGAAAACTGCCGTTATTGTGTGTAAAAGCTGTAACCCTCTACAAATATGTTCGGAAACACATAAGATTCTTGGATTACTTCTACTTATTTCTTTCAAATGTGAATTCTCCAGATCTGTTTAAACTCTGAACTGTGACCTGAATCCAGATGTGAAAAAATTAAACTGTAAATTCACCAAAATTACAAAACTGAAATGAAAAATTACATCTTTTTATTACAAAATGATGCAGCCCTGTTTTGTTCACAGTGTTTCCCACCGAGAGAAGAAACTACGACATTGGATTTTAGTCTAGAGTGATCACACGTCCCTGATTACCCGCGACAGTCCCAGTTTTGAACCTGTGTCCACTTGTCCCAGCAGATTTATACAAAACCACTGATTTGTCCCAGTTTTAGCCAAGAAATGTCCCAGGTGTCTCTATTTTTGACCAATCTGATCCCTGCCAACAGTAAAGAGACATAAATCGTAATTTGTTTTAGTAAAATACAGAAAAGCTGCTTAAAAACGACCAAAACACAAAGAAAATGTGACTACACTGACTCATCTTTGTCATGAATGGACCGAGTGCAAAACTATTGTCCTTAATTACACAATTTTATTATTACAACTAGGACTGGGTATTATTAAGTTGCCGATACGATACATATCTCGATACAGTGCTCAAGTGTACAGAACTCGATACGATATATTTCAAATCGATTTGATATAGTTACGTAAAAATAAAGGCTAAATCAAGCCACTTCTTGTGAAAAGTTTATATGAGAAATTTTAATCATAAACAGTGAAAATGTCAAATGAGTAATGATTGGCGATATATCGATACAGCAGCCCACGATATCGATACTGAATCATCACATTAAACGATACGATATATTGATATTTCTGCACACTCCTACTTACAACTACCACAAACCGAGAGTGTCCCAGTTTTATATTTTGAAAATCTGGTCACCTTATTTTAGCCACCAGAATACGGTGACCAGATTTTCAAAATAAAAAACTGGGACACTCTCGGTTTGTGTTGGTTGGTGATAATAAAACAGTGAAACGAGTAATTAATGAGAATTTGTCACGCACTCGGCACTAATGTGAGTCAGTATAGTCACATTTTCTTTGTGTTTTTGTAGTTTTTAAGCAGCTTTTTTCAAAATAAAACCAAAAATAAGAAAACGAAAAAATTACTGTTTTCTTCATTATTTGTCTCCAAAACCAAAATGAAAAAAAACAGATAATGATTCGGTTTTTTCAGTTTTCAATTTTGTGTTTAAATGAAAAATGGAAAAAATGGATAACGGACTGAACCAGGACTAATCCGTTTTCAGTCCCGGTCTCAGTCCCGGTCCCAGTCTTAGTCCCAGTCTCAGTCAAAATCTCAATCCCTATATCAGTCCTTGTCTCAGTTCTGGTCTGGTCCCGGACCTGGTTCAGTCCTGGTTCAGTCCTGGTTCAGTCCTGGTTCAGTCCTGGTTCAGTCCTGGTTCAGTCCTGGTTCAGTCCTGGTTCAGTCCTGGTTCAGTCTGGTTCAGTCCTGGTTCAGTCCTGTATTTTACCTCAACAAATGACACTCTACCTTTATTCACTGTTTCAAATTGATCAAAAATAGGGACACCTGGGACATTTTTTGTATAAAACTGGGACAAATCAGTGGTTTTGTGTAAATCTGCTGGGACAGGAGACACAGGCTCAAAACTGGGACTGTCCCGGGGAAACAGGTACGTCTGGTCACTCTAGTTTAAATCGTTCTGGAAAAAAATTCGTGAAACAAATGATACTTTTGCAAGAAGAATTCCCATAAACACACAGAAGAAGAGAGACTTGTTTAGGGTGACCAGAATTTCAAAACAAAAACCTGGGACACCCTCGTTTTTTTGTGGTGGTTGGTGATAATAAAAGTCACAATCAGAATTTATTTGTCATTTCAGTATAAAAAAAATACACAGAAACGAAACACAGCACTCAGGTCCAATAGGAAGAAATAGTTTAAAATATCGTATTGTGAAATTAGTGAATAATTACAAAAAATTGTTACGCAGAGACCATTCATGATGAACACATGAGTCGGTATCGTCACATTTTCTTTGTGTTTTGGTAGTTTTTAAGCAGCTTTTCTGTATTTTACCTAAAAAAAATTGACACTCTACCTAGGGATGGGCATGATTGGTCGATTAATCGATAATTGATCATTAAGAATTTCATCGATTACGTTCATTTTAATCGACAAACTGAATGTAGGCTGCTGTGCGTAGTGTCACCAAACAGGTGTGTACATGTGTCTCTGCATCAGAAGGAGCGAGACACAAACAAACAGTGGGTCAGTCTGTAACGAACCGAAGCACAAATGTGGATTTAACCAGGATTTGTAGAAGAAATTCCACACTTTCCGTTGCGTTGGGACAAGTGTGAGTCCATGTGCACAGTGGATAAAGCAGCACATATGTTTCTGTGTCCAGTGGGAAAAAGTTTTTCCAGGTGAGAGTCGCTCAATGTGGATGACGAGGCCCCGCCCCCCTCCCCCCGTACGCTGTCCTGGTTTTGACAAACACAAATCTGGTCACACTGACCTGTATTCACCTGAGTCATGTCTTTTAATCCAACACAAGTTGAACCACATCAGCGACACAAGAGCTGGAGTTTTATCTTCACTTAGTTTATGTAAATTAGTGATGTGGTTTTAAGTTTTGTTTCTGTGAGATTTGAACAAAACTGAATTAAACACATTATAATGTCAAACAGCTGATGTGGATCTAGAGTCGTTATGTTTATATGTCGTAAAGTTGAATTTATTTATGCAGATTAGTGCAGATAGTAATAATAATGATGATCATTTTAATATAAAAACGTTAATGATTAATCGATAATCGATAGTTAATTCTTCCAACGATTGATTAAGAAAATTTCATCGAATGCCCATCCCTAACTCTACCTCTATTTAGTGTTTCAAATTGGTCAAAAACAGAGACACCTGGGACATTTCTTGTATAAAACTGGGACAAATTAGGGACGTCTGGTCACTCTAGGCAGTTTGTGATAATAAAATTGTAAAACGAGTGAGTAATTAAGGAGAATTGTTCTGCATTTGGCACTAATGTGAGTCAGTTTAGTCACATTTTCTTTGCGTTTTGGTCGTTTTTAAGGAGATTTTCTGTATTTTACCTAAACAAATGACACTCTTCCTCTATTTACTGTTTCAAATTGGTCAAAAATAGCAACATCTGGGACATTTCTTGTATAAAACTGGGACAAATAAGTGGTTTTGTGTAAATCTGATGGGACAGGGGGACACAGGCTCAAAACTGGGACTGTCCCGAGGAAATAGGAACATGTGGTCACTCTACCCTAGACTTTAAATCATCATACTGGACAAAAAATCGTAAAACGGATGATAATTTTGCAAGAAGAATCAACATAAACACACAGAAATCAACTCCAGCTCAATTTAATCTTTTATCTGCGCTTTTTTCCTCCAGAGTATAAAGCATTTCAAGTCCGACATTAAATTAAATATAAATCGCAGTGTAAATAAGTGAGAAATGCGCACAGATGAAAGTTTTAAAGCAGATTTCCTTCAGGTTTTAGCGGCTTTAAACCATCCGCGCTAACTATTACAGCTCAGAATAATTGCGTATTTTGTTCAAATCGGTGAATATAAAACGTTTAAGCGGCTCAAAAAGCACCTAAAGCACTCGCGTATGTAGAGTTTAATAAATGTACTTTACCATATCTGCAGCTGCTCTGCGTTTATGGGATAATTCGTGATTTTTCGTAAGTTTTGTGTCTTAGCTCGTCTCGATTTTGGCTCGTTTTCAGCTACCGGAAGTTCGTTCTCGCCGGAGTTTGGGGACTTCCGGTAGAAACTACGAATGTTTTAAAAAAATAAAGCGCCCCCTGCTGTAAGTCACGTTTATGTTTTAATCTAAATAATAATTTTATTTACTTATTTATTCAGTTTTCTGACCTGTCACTTGGTCTGCCTACCTCCATGGAGACAGTTACGTTAATTGCTATAATGAGGAATATTTAACTTTATTTATTTATTTAAACTATCTATTTAAATTTTTTATTTTTTTCTCCCAGTTTTGTAAAACATTCCAGCCAAAGCTTTAACATTTCCTTGGAGAAAAGCATTTTTATCAGTTGGGCTTCCTTTAACTGGTTTTAGCTGGATTTTATAAAAAAAAAATTTTATTTTCAATGTATTTCTTTTTATTTAATTATTTATTTCTTTTGATTTATGTGTTTATTTATGTATTTATTTATTATAATTTATTGGATTGTTTGCATCATTGTGTGTTTTTGTGCTTTTTGTATTGTTCTTTGCTGCTTGTACAGCACTTTGTAAACCTTGCTTTTAAAAGTGTTTTATAAAGATGTATTATTATTTAAAAAATATATATATATATTAATTATTTTTGTATTATTATTATTATTTTATTTTTTTTTTTTTAATTAAAGTTGTATTTTATTTTATTTTATTTTTGACGGACCCTCCACCAGAAAAGTTTCACAATTCATCTATAAGAAAACTTGATCTCACAAAAAATGTCAGTTTTTGCAATTTAAGAGATCCTTGTGTGAATAATTTTATGCCGTCCGATGTATTAGATCACTTGCAATGTATTTGTACTGTTTTTATTTATTTTATTTTATTATTGTTTAAAAAAATGTACAAACCCAGTCAAAAATTTGCACTGTTGACGTTGTTGAACAATGTATTTTGTATTGCCAGCACAGATTTAAAATAAAGATGAAAAAACTTAATAATTTTGTTTTGTTTTGATTATTTCTTCGTTCTGATTATTTCAAAACTTTTCCATGACTTTTTCATGACCTAAAGTGAATCTTCCATGACTTTACGACGCCTACATGTGTAGAATTACACTTTTACGGCTAAATCTGAAATGTTTAACTCTTTCCACTCACCTTAAGGTTTGGGATTATAGTTTTTGAACATTTAAAATCCTGTCAGTGCATTTATTGTCGTTTCTTTTAAAACAAAACGCGCAGACGTTCACAAATAATCAGAACAGCCTCACGAGAACTTGCATAGTTTTTGGAGCTGCGTAAAATTCCATAACTTTTCTCAAACGTTTATTGAATTTACAAAACTCCATGACTTTCCCAGGATTTCCAGGACCGTGGGAACCCTGCACACGGCTCCACACGCGGGTAGAAATGAGTGGGGACGCGTCACGGATCTGCTGGGCTCGGCTCGGTTTTCTCTCTGATTATGGTAATCGGAGGGACGTCCCACGCGCCCCGACCGACTCAGTTACGTTACGTCACGCTCGCACAGCTCACGAGGAGGGGGCACGCACTTGCACTCGCTGAACCGGTCTGCCCCCCCTCTCCCCACGTGCACAGTCTGTCCCGTGTGTACGTGTGTGTGCGTCGCGTTCGTGTGTGTGTATGTGTGTGTGTGTGTGTGTGTGTGTGTGTGTGCGCTCGTCGCGTCCGTGTGTGCGTGCTCGTCGCGTCGGCGTGTGTGTGCGTCGCGCGTCTCTCCGCAGAAGTGAAGCGATCAGCTGCTCCGCCGGACGCACCGGGAGGAGAAGGAGACCCGAGCGAAGCAGCCACAGGACCGGGCACAGCTCTGACATGGACCGGGGAAAGCGGACGGTGGTCGTCACAGGTGCGTGCTCTCGTTTTCCGCGTGTTTTTGCGTGTTTTTGTGCGTTAAAAACAAAGAAAAAAACAGGACTGCGCCGAAAGTTGGAAGCGAATTCGAGCTGCTCGGGGCCAATGGCGGCGGCTCCTCACTGCTCAGAACAACTACAACAAACAAGAAGGTTTTGCTTTTTTACGATTTCACTGGTTTTATTGTTTTAGGATTCGTAAGAACTTCACATTTTAGCAATTTCACCCTTTTTGTTGTCTTGACTTTACGATCTCTGTGCAGCAGTTTGGAAACTGCTTTGTTGTTTTTTGGATTTTAATTTACTGCACAAATTAGTTTATTATCGTGAAAATCAATCTACTTTTCTCTAAACCAGTGTAATTATCGCTGATGGAAAGACATTTTTGAATATATATATAATAGTAATACACTTTTATACACTTGATAATAATTACAAACCACATTTTTTTCGTTTAAAATCGTCTTTTCATTTCAGAAATAGGCTTAAAGACGTACTGCCCATTTGACATTGTTTACAAAAAAATTAAAAATACTACGTGCAGTTTGAGAACGTAAAAAGACTGAGGTTGCTTCGTGAGATCTGGTAATTATTCCGCGATATCGTGAAATCGTATTGTCAGAACTCAATAATATAGTGGGCTATCACAATATATCGATTTTTTTTCACTTAAAAGTGTTAAAAAAGAGAGAATGTACTTTACTATAAAATAAAATAACTGTTATGAAGCACTTTTAAACCGTATTTCTTTGGACTATGGCTGTAATGATTCACTCTGAAGACTCGTCAAGGTGTTTAAAAAGGACAAAGTACAATTCTGTTAACTTCTTCAAAACGTCGTAATAATTATCATACCGTGAGAGGCATATCGTGATAATATTGTACTGTGAGAGGCATATCGTAATAATTATAGCACCGTGAGAAGCATACCATGATAATAACATACCGTGATAATATCATACCGTGATAATATCATACCGTGAAAAGCATACGATGATAATATCGTACCGTGAGAAGCATATTGTGATAATGTCATACCGCGAGAGGCATATTGTAAAAATTATTTTCCCATGAGAAGCATGCTGTGATAATATTATACCGCAAGAGGATTATCGTAATAATTATCGTACTGAGAGAGGCATACCGTGATAATATCATACCGTGAGAGGTGTATCGTAATAATACCGTACAGCGAGAAGCATACCGTGATAACGTTGTACCTTAAGAGGCATATCATAATAATTATTGTACAGTGAGAGGCATATCACGATAATACTGTACCGTGAGAGACATGTCGTAATAATATCGTACCGCAAGAAGCATATTGTGTTAATATTTTACCGTGAGAAGCACATCGTGATAATATCGCACCGTGAGGGGCATATCGTAATAATTATCGTACTGTAAGAGGCATATCGTGCTAATAATCGTACCGTGAGAGGCATATTGTGATAATTATCGTACCATGAAAGGCATATCGTGATAATTATCGTACAGCGCGAGGCATATCGTGATAATTATCGTACCATGAAAGGCATATCGTGATAATTATCGTACCGTGAGATTTAGACATCGTTACATCCCTGGTAATTACAATTTTAATGCAGGTTCATTTGTTGTTTGGCAATTTATTCATTATTAATCACATGACGTAGAGTAGCCAGACATTGTACTCAAGTAAGAGTAACAGTACTTCAAAATAATATTATTCAAGTAGAAGTACAAAGTAGTGGAAAGTACTCAAGTGAGAGTAAAAAAGTATTTGGGAAAAGTACCCGTACCTGAACGTAACACCTGATTTTTCTCCTTGGAGATGTCGTCGCTTTGTCTGAAATGTTCCACAGTATGGCATTAAACCTTTCTATCTCCATGGAAACCAAACCAGACCAAGTTACAGGTCAGATTTGTGGAGAGGCGACGCTGCTCACAGTCAGAATATTTATTTCTGTAGGTATTTTTGAGCTTTAAAGCCACCTGTAACTATTAAATGCAGGTTAGAGCTGTTTAATGTCACACTGCGGAACATTCCGGGCAGAGCAATGACGTGACGGACACTAGAAAAGTTACGCAGTGCAGCTTTAAGCGAACGTAATGTGCAGGACGAAGCGGGAAATACGTCTCACAAAATCTGGTGTTTTCAAAGGACGGAGACGAAAATGAGACGGAATGAAATCAGATCTGTTACTTCAACACAAATATTACTCAAGTAGGAGTAAAAGTATTGCTAGAAAAGTACTCTGAAAAGTACTATTTCTTGTATTTTTTTGTACTTTTGTAAACGTTGAAGAGCTGTGACTTATTTAAATCCTTACACAACCTGTCAGTGCTCAGGTCCACAGCCAAAACAAAACACTGTCATTTTTAATCCTATTAGACGCTGCAGTATTAAAGCAGCATTATGTAACTTTACAGGTGGAGGCCATCTGCTTTTCTTCATGGAGGTGTTATTTCTTTGCCCCCAATGCTCCACAGTATGGCATTAAACTGATTTATCTCCATAGAAACGAGCAGGCAAAGAACCAAAACATAAACGAACCAAAACTAGGAGAAAGAGGAGAGAGAGAAAGAGGAGAGAGAGAGAGAGAGGAGAGACAGAGGAGAGAGAGAAAGAGGAGAGAGAGAGAGAGAGAGAGAGAGAGAGAGAGAGAGAGAGAGAGAGAGAGAGAGAGAGAGAGAGAGAGAGAGAGAGAGAGAGAGAGAGAGAGAGAAGAGAGAGAGAGAGAGAGAGGAGAGAAGAGAGAGAGAGAGAGAGAGAGAGAGAGAGAGACGAGAGAGAGAGAGGAGAGGAAGAGAGGAGAGAGAGAGAGAGAGAGAGAGAGAGAGAGACAGAGAGAGAGAGAGAGAGAGAGAGAGACAGAGAGAGAGAGAGAGAGAGAGAGAGAGAGAGAGAGAGAGAGAGAGAGAGAGAGAGAGAGAGAGAGAGAGAGAGAGAGAGAGAGAGAGGAGAGAGAGACAGAGAGAGAGAGAGAGAGACAGAGGAGAGAGAGACAGAGGAGAGAGAGAGAGAGAGAGAGAGAGAGAGAGAGAGAGAGAGACAGAGAGAGAGAGAAAGAGAGAAGAGAGAGAGAGAGAGAGAGAGAAGAGAGAGAGACAGAGGAGAGACAGAGAGAGAGAGAGAGAGAGAGAGAGAGGAGAGAGAGAGAGAGAGAGAGAGAGGAGAGAGGAGAGAGAGAGAGAGAGACAGAGGAGAGAGAGACAGAGGAGAGAGAGAAAGAGGAGAG